TGAAGGACCACTGTTTGGTTCCGCTATTTGTCCGCCGGGATATTGCTATCCTTGGCCTTATCCACCGTAGTGCCATTGGTTTGGGACCTCTCTTGTTTTCCCGTTTCTTCCGCCCCGCCTTTCCCCTTCCTCTGTTCCCTCTCGTTCCTCTCGCTCCCGCTCTTCGCCCCTCCACAGCAGGCAACTTCAAGAGCCATACAGCGCTTTTGCGCCAGATTATGTCCGCAGGTCTCTTCTTGGAGGCGTCCGGTTGTACAATATTTTACCGGAGGCAATCGTGCGCCAACCTACTGTCCACGATTTTCAATGCATGCTTCAGTTGTTTCTGTGTTCCCGGGCCCACGCGGGAGACGTCCAGTGGAAGGTTTTGCTTTCGTGGCGTCAGCCGTTCGCTTTCCACCCTCTTCTGGGTCATCGCGCGTGGGCGCCGGCCTAGTTTGTCCTTTCTCGCCTTTCCCTCCCCCTCCCTCCCCTCCGTCCCCGTCCCTCCCTGTTGATTTTTTAGTGCAAAGGGTCTCCCTTCCGATCGGCGGCCGTTTGTTCGCCTGTCTGAAGAAGGCTAGTGGTGAGGAGTTCATGCGTGTCCGAGGCTGATAAAAAAAAGGCGGCTCCGAAGGCCCGGGAGAGTCTTCATATTATGGGATTTGCCAGATGGAGAGTTTAATTTTTTTTTTCCGCTTTCAGCTTTATTAGGCACATTCGGGTGGCAGATCGTTGTCCCGGTGGAGCGCAGAAAAATTGATAGGAAAGATGCAGAGAGGCGCAGACGATTCAATAAACGGCCCAATTATCTATAGTTAAAGGATGAATCATTGCTTTGTCCGTTCTTCGTTAGTAGTGGATAGGCGCTTATAGAGCATATTCGTTCGCTGGCAGAATACGAGCGCCAGTCCCGGCGTTTTGGTTTTGCCGGGCGGCAGTGTCTTTGGCGTCGTCGCGTTGTGAGAATTATGTGGTCATGCGGTATGTACGAAAAATGTTTGGGCAGTGCGTCCGGATTGAACCCAGAGAATCTGGAAACTGTTGCCAATGACAGCTCGGATAATCCGGTTGGGTCCTATAGCTTGGTCCCGCAGTCCCCTTTTTTGGAAGGTCCCGTGTAATCTTGCATGACATGTTATCGTGTTTCGAACGCATTAATTCGAATGCATTTCTTCCAGGTGGGTTTCTGGCAATTTCTAGTTTGCAGCGCTTTTTTTTTTTTTTTTTTTTTTTTTTTTTTTTTTTTTTGTTTTCAGGGCGAATTCGTGTTTTTAGTGTCTGTTGTTTGTCCGTTTTCCCTTATTTCACGTGGTATGCCTATCTGAATGTTGGTTGAATGTTGGGTGGTAGATGGCATTTCCTTGGTCAGAAAGGAGAATCCATTCTTCGTGCGGCGACGAGCTGTTGACGACGTGGCGATGGCGACAAGATACCCAGACTGGCAGACAAGCCCAGAGGATGGGCGGCGACGATGTGCGACGGGGCGGGTGACAATATAGCCGCCGGACTCGTAGACAGTCCCAGACGACGGATGGAGACAGGGCGGCGATGGGGCGGCGATGGCGTCTACATAGTTTCCAGAGCGGCAAAGAGGTCATGATTTCTTTCAAAAATATGCAAGAAGTCATAGATGCAGAAACTGTTTGGGAAACGTTTATTGCACAACATATTACACGTATATTGCACCATGTACAATGTATTACATAGACAGCGCTACAACAGTTGAACCACACAGATAGCGCAACACATATATAGCACAACATGTACTGCACCACGTAGATCTCGTCACATAAGTTGCACAACACAAGTTGCGCATTACATAGACTGCGGAACCTAGATTGCGCCACGTAGGTTGCACCACATATATTGCACAACGTAGTTCGCTAGCAGCAAACTATTTTGGGCCCGCGCTATCTTGCATATTGTGGTTGTGAAACTTACCTGTGTACTCTCCGCAATGCCATCGGACATGGAAGTCCGTAGTCGTCGCCAGCGCAGCGTATATTTTCGAACCTCAACTACCGTGGCGCTTCGTGCATCCTCGTGCGCGGGATTCTTCTGACATCGACTGCCGACCATGCTCCCGATCGTTATCGCCAAGTTGTGCAAAACCGCAGATCCCAACAGCATGCATTCCCGTGTTGCAGTCGGGGCACTGGTTTGGATCATTTTGTTTAGAACATGTGACTTGTGATCAGCGCCACTTTTGCTATTATGGTCAGGTTGGACGACCAGGTTGCAAGCATGAAACATTGATTTTGGTCAGAGTCGCGCTCCTGGAACGTGGCGGGCCGACCAGGCCGAGAACAATCAAGAACTCAATCGTCCCGTTGCGGCCTTTCGGGTCGAGCTAGACGGAGTGTTGCAACATGCTGTAATCAGACTTGTTTGTCCTGCTGGGGCCCCGTAGGTCGATCCGTTCTAAAGTGTGAGTGATTGATTGTTCGTCAGACTGCTTTCTGGTTGGCGATGCAGTGTGGTCCGACCGGGCCAGGGACACCTGCAAATAATAGTCGTAGTTTTCTGCTGCTCAGTTGGGGCCCACCAGATTTTGTGTCAGACTCGTTTCTTCTTGTTTGGCCCCGCGGAACGACTGGACCAGGAACAGTAGACGTGTTCTCGTAAGACTCGTTCCTCTCTTCAGTGTCTGGCGGGCGGACTGGGGTCAGGGGCGTTCCGAAGATGCGGTTCATATTTTTGACCTCGTGGTTCCTGATGGGCCTTTGCAGCTCGATCAGGCTGGAAGCGAGAAGTAGGGAGATTCGTTCTTCCTGTTGGAGCCCCATGGACCTGCCAGGTTGGGATCATCGTAAATACATTGTGATGAGTTCGCGATGTCTCGTCCATGCCGGGTCTTACTCGCTCCAACCTCCTTGCGGCATGGTTGGTTTGCTCCCTGCTCTCGCTCAGTTGTGATCAGTTTACTCTGGTTCGGGCTGCTTTGTGGAAGTTTGGCCTGGTTTGAGTTTTTTCGGTCGCACATGGCCCAGTTCGTTCTGTCTCGTTCGTGCCTGGCCTGGCTCTCAAAATGGCCCGCCGTTTTCGCATGCCTGGCTGCCTGGTTTCGTCCGCCCTGTCTCGTTCGTGCCTGGGCCTCGTTTCGCTCGCTGGTTGGGTCCTGCGTCGTTTTGGTCGCTCGCGGCTCGTGGGCCGCGTCACGTTTCGTCATGTTTCGTCCTGTGCCGCTCGTGCCTGGCCTGGCCCGGCCTGCCCCGCTCCGCTTATGCCGCGGCTCGGCCGCTCCTTGTCTGTGCTGACTTTGGCTCGCTCGTGCCTGCCCTGGCCTCGCTCGTGCCTGGTCCGCATCATTATTGTTCGGAGGCTCTGAGCGACGACTCGGCCTGGATCACAAGACAGAGTTGTCCTCAGCCTCGTTCTCTGTTCGTCTGATGTGTTCGTTCCTTCGTTCTGGCGGATGCTAGCGTTTCGTTGCTTCGCTGCTTCGACGAGCGCCGCCAGGCGGTCCTGCGGGGTGCCCCCTTTGCCGCAGATCCGAGGGAGTGCCCGCCTCCACGGGTGCCGTGCAGCCGGCGGCGCCTTCGTGCACCCCCTGGGGGTGCAGCGGAGTGCCCCCCGTCGTCGCAGGTCCGAGCGGGAGCTCGCCGCCTGCGGCGTGCCAGGCGCGCTGGTGTCGCGAATGTTCTTCGCCGCCGCGGGGTCCAGGGGAGTACAGCTCCGCATCACATCCAAATGAGACGTCTGCTTCCATGGTGGTACGAAACAGGTGAGTTCGTGGCACAAAGTGTGTGTGTGTGTGTGCGTGCTGCGTGTGATCGAATGAGTAAAGTAAGCTGTTCCGCCGAGTGATCGAGGGCAGATCATCGACGAGGGCATGAGTGTATGGTTGCGTCGTTTTTGCAGCGTAATGTGTGGTGACAGTTTGCCTTGATTTCAGCAAAGAAAGACGCATGAACAATAGTTTCCGATTGTGTCGAGGCAGCGTGAGTCAAGTAACCTTGTGGCATGTTCCAGCGCTGCGGCGCCACCGTAGCCCTCTTCAGAGGGCCGTCCTCCGGGACGATTGTCGGTGTCTTTCTGTTTGTTTTCTGGAGTGTTTCCAAACGTGAGATTACGGCAAGTGCGGGTCCACCAGAGCCCGTGCCCACCATCCAAATTCAAAAGTGACCTTGCATCCCCAGGTGATGTCTGGCTGGCCGCCAGGCCAGCTGTGGCTGCCAGAACGGCTGAGGATGCCAGCCAGGCGCCAGCAGACCTTTTTTTAGATTTTATATGCGTGCAGCTTGATCATCGTAGTCACGAGATAAGTCGTTATGATCCTCGAAGGGGGGCTCGTCAGGTGTTCTCGCAACGGGACAGACGGTGCAGTGTTGCGCGGACAAACATCGGGAGCCATGCTTGGGTAGCCCAATTGTGGCAACTCTTTGTCCACTTGTCCTCCTAGTGTTCCTTGTCACCCTTGTCCTCCTTGTCTTCCACCACCTCCTCCTCCGCTCCCTCCTTATCTATCCTCCTGCTCTTCGTCCTCCCCATCCTCCTTCCCTTCTCCTTCTCTTTCTTCCTTCCTCTGATGGTCACGCTTCTTCTCATCCTGTTGTTCCTTATTCTTGTGTGGTTCTTCTCCGTGGCGCCGCGAGGTATTCGTAGGCTCATGTAATTCTTCATACCAAATGCAGTGGAGGGAAGGCGGGCGAAATGGAGCAGGAGAGAAGTGATGCGCGTGGTTTGATCAGACTCTGGCCCCTTCTGGGTCTGCACTCGGGTCGCCGTTCTGATCCTCGCGTACTGCTCTGCGAGGCTCCATCTTCACAGCTTTTTAGGCATGCACCGACGCCGCTTGAAAGGTTAGTGAGACATGGGAAGAAACAGTAGTGCGTCTCGTCGCAGCTGGGAGTGTGATCCTTCGTCCTGGCCCCAATGACCTACTCGGGGCCTCCGTCCTCAGGGGGTCCCCCCCTGGGCCAGGAGGCTCCGCGACGAGGCCCTGGGGCACGGCACCAGACCGAGCAACGCGCTGGCATGCTGCTCTCCGCCCGCCGCCCCCCTCCACCGTCGGTGGCCCAGCATTCCGGGCTCTTAGCTGGTCGGCGGCGCTGTCCCCCCCCCCGCGAGACGCTCATAGGCACGCGCCCGCAAAGGCCGGAGGGGCGCGGCCGACCTGAGTGCGAGTTTTTGTCTTCGTCGGCGCCGTCGTCGTCGTCCTTCGGGCGGGAAATGATATGCGCCGCCGTTGGGATCCCGTCAGCGTGTTACTCCCTCGTGGTTGTAGGAAGGCCTGGTGTTTCCTCAACAGCAACACACTGACGTCTCCCACACGGTGGCGTGTCAGGGATACTGCTTTTGCTCCCCCAGTCCTCCTCCCAAAGCTCCTGAGGCCGTGTCACCGTCGCTTCTAAGGCGCGCTCCTGCGCTCCCACTCGCGGAGCGGGATCTGGCGCTCGCCCTCGCGTCGGCTGCCCGATGATGGGGATCGTTCCTTCGTCCCTTCTCCTCTTCCTCCTCTTTCTCCTTCCTCTTCCCCCTCCTTCTCGAGCTCGAGCCGGTGGCATCGAGGTTCGGTGCCTTCTGTTTCTCCTCTTCCTCTTCCCCTGGGGGTTACAAGGTTATTTAACTGTGTTAGGTGGAGACCAGGTGCGCTGTGGGTGTCGGAATCCCGCGGTGCGTTCGCTTGTCGCTGTGGGCTGCCCGATGCCCAGTCGCAACGGGCTAATCCTGGTCATGTCGACACTGACAGCCTCCAGCGGAATCGCCTCAGAGGATGTCGTTGGCGACGCCGAGGAGGGTCGAAGCTCTTCTCGATGGCCAGACCTCCAGCGATAGTTTTTTGCAAATATCGGTCTTCAGGGCTTGTGTTCGGGCCCCCCACCCTCAAAAACGGATCTGGGACACAAGACCAATCCCAGGGAGGTGTCGAAATTTTTGGGTCCAGCACAGTGCAAAAAGCAATCCGTCGGAGGTCTCGGTACGACTGTCGATGGGTCGATGTTGAGTGGGGGGTGAGGGCGAGCCAGTGTGTCAAACAGATCTGCGCTAGAGCTGCGTATCGGGTTGAGCTTCTGGGGCAATTGGCTGCCACTCGGTGCGCCTTTGTCCACGTACAGGGAGGCTTCGGTGGACAAGCCCATGTTGGCGCTAACGCGCGTGGGCGCTGTCCCATCGGTTGACTTCCACCACGTTGGTGGCGCCGTTGTCGGAGTGCGGGGGGAGACGCGCCGATTCCGGCCAAAGGCTGGGGCCCCCGAGCGGCCCAAAGCTCTCGTCCTCGGGTTCGGCATGCCCCTTCGAGTGGCGCTGGGAATCGGGCGTGTATTCTTGTGCGTACGGGTGGCAGATCGCCTGGGTGTGCTGTTGCCCCCCGCTTGGGCGTTCAGAATAAAAACTCTCCTGGTGGGCGCGCCCTCCCTCTCCTCTCCCCTCGCCCCCTCCCTCTTCCTCTTCTCTCTTCCCTTTCCTCCCTCTCCCTCTTCTCCTCTTCCTCTTCCTCTTCTCCCCCTCTCCTTTTCCAGTCTCGGCTCGGGAACGCTTGTGCTCAAGGCTAGCCACGACACGTATTTTCCCGTGCACTTCAGCCTGTCCCGCAGCCGGGGCCAGGGGCATGGACGGGTGGACCATTGAGGAAGCCAAAGCGCTCCTAGAGGACGGAGTTCTCCGATCCTTCGCCGCTGCACTGAGGATAAAGCAGCGCACGGAGAGAGTACAGGCGCCCCTTCTGCACGTACCTCACCCAAGCGTTCGAAAATGTAAAAGGCGAGCTCCCCGCCGACCAACGTTTGCTCTCCGTCATGTCCATATGGATGCGCGCCTGGGAATCACTAGCCTACCGCAGCATCGCATCCCAGAGAGCCCACTGACTCCGCCCAACCAACTTCGGGGCGGTTCCACACGCCGCGATCGGGGACGCCAGCACGACCCTGGCGCTGCAGGTCGACCGCGCTCGCCACCTCCAAGTTCCTCTGGCAGGGGCCGCGCTGGGCCGGCAAAAGTGTTTCGAGAACCTCGTCGCGGACATTTGCCTCAACTTGGTGCTGCGCGCTGGATGCCCGCCCGACATCGATCAAGGCAGACGATACTTCTGCGGTAACCACCAGAGATGCATCCGCATGGGTGGAGCTTGTTCCAAGCCACTGGCGCGCGCCGATGTGCACCTCGAAGTCAGCTCCTTGTCTTTTGACGATCTCCTCGTGTGCGTATGGACCAAGCGACAGCATCGGTACGTGCCTCGCTCGCTGAGCACAACGCATGTCGACGATAGCAATTTCACGGCCCTCGCAGCTAGAAGGCTCCAAATTTCACTTGACGAGACTCTTCTCTTCGATTGCTTGTCTGTCAACGTCCACCCTGGCGAAGTGGTTGGCCGCCAGGTGGCCGCCCTTCAGCTCCACGGGCATCCACTGCAAGCTCGCCACCAGGTGAAGCTGGTAGGGAGTTGCATCAATGTACCGTAGCAGACGACTTCCACTTGAACCTCGAGGCCGCCGCCGACGCCAGGGTACGGCTACGGCGGGCTGTCGCCAGACTCCCGCGCATCGGGCGACTCCCAGAAGGCACGCAAGCGTGACCTTGATCAGTTAGGTCCCTTGTTGCCAGCATTGTACCACGGGCACCGGCATCCATGCGCTCGGCCAGAGAGCAGTGATTCTTTTCCACAGCACGGCGTTCGCCTTCATAAGGCTCAAATGGGGACCCTGGATCCCGCAATGGGCCCTATGCGCGCTCGTCTTTCCTGGGCGCGCTATCGAACTTGGTACCATCACGCACAGGGAAGCTTTACTCGGGCTGGGGAGGCGAGTGCGGCGAGACACCAGTCTCGACGCCAAAGCCGAAGAGCTGCGTGATTATGCGCAACCCGTTCAAGGAGGAGGGGGGCTCAGTGGGTAAGGTTTGGCAAACCATTGCCCAACTCGAATGGAGCTGGCCAGCGTACGGTACGATGTACGACGACATAGAGCACCCGCCTATCATGGCTCAACCTGCCAGCGGGGTTGTTCACGCATATGCTCCGCGCGTCACGCAGGCGTTCTTCCCCCTGGCGCACTCCTACCACCCGACACGACCTGGGTGGCGTCGCTGCGGTCAAACAGGGCCTTGACTACTCTGCCAACACGTGGTTGCTTGGAACGAGTGGCATGTCCAAATGCACTACGTGGCGACTCGGCCCTCTCTGAAACTATTTGTGCTGGGGTGAACACGCTCAACAAGAGAGCAGTCAAAGCCGCCATCTATGCCGGCCCAGCTTCTCTGTGCAGATGGTGCCATGCCAGACAGAAGGGTGGGCTATCCAGGGATTGAACTCAGCAAGATGAAGCCGAACCCTCTCGCCGCTGACCAAGCCAGCGACGAGCCACCAGGCTCGCCAGGCTATGGGGCGGCCCTGCTCACCTTGACGGTCCACCAGGCCCCGACTAGTTCGATCTCCTCGAGGATCCATGGTCGGGCCTGCTTGGTGACTCGACTCCGAGGGGCAAGACCTGCTAGGACTCGGCGCTTCCCTGAGCTAGAACGAAACAGAACGATGCCTTCCCTCCCGAAGGCGCAGCAGAGAGGACCAGCGATCGCGATAATCACCACGGCGCGAGCCGGCCACGATTCTCCGATGGCCAGGCGCAAGCCGCCCACGGTCGGCAGGATCAGGCGGTCACCGCCAGGCCCCTCTTGCCAACAGGCCAGCTCCTCTTCCCGCCAGGGTGCGAGGAGCAGCGAACGGCCAATGACCGACGTCGGAACAGGGCCCGGTGCGACGGGGACCCAGCGAACAGACCAGAGGCTGTGCCTTGCGCAGCACTTCTCAGTGGCCTGACGACAGCCAGATCGTGGCCGCGAAACGGTCCTCACCGCTAGCATGAACGCGCTGCAACAGCGGGCCGTTCACCTTGCCCAATCTCTCCAGCATATCCAGGACCAGTCAGCCCCACTGCTTGACGGGTTCCACCGAGCACAGGCTGCCTGGGACGGCCTCCATCAGGCTTTCTGGCTTACCGTTTCCATTGGGGCGTCCCTCCAAGACCGGCTAAAGGCTTACCTGGATGCCCGACGCGCAGCACGCCAGTGCTGGCGCCCCTCCTCTCCCAGTGGGCTCCGCAAACGGGTGGCGCCTGTTCCGTTGCCCTCCTACTTGGGCCGCGCGGCGGGGTGGCCCAAGGTGGCGCCACATTGTCCAGGCGCCGCATCACGCAAGCCAAAGCGAGTGTGCAGCCGCCGTCTCTCTTTCCGCGGGCGTGCTGAAGGGGCGAGTTTCGCCCTTGTCGCCACTTCCCGCTTTTGGTTTCTAGTCGGGGTCCTCACAGACCGCGCCAGTGGTGAGGGTAGCTTCCCACTCCTGCTTTGCACAAGCGGCGCAACTCGTCACCTGAGGTGGGCGCGGCGGGAGCCTGCTCTCGCGCGCCCAGAAGAATTCCCGTCCGAACTCCCGTCCGAACTGGGGGGACCTGTTCCTCCCTCGCCCTCACCCCTTTTCCCCTCTTGCTCTCTCCGCGTGCCCGCTGCCCCTTTCGCCCGGTGCCCCCCTTCCTCCGCGCGTTTGGGGCGGCCGTGACCTTCCCGACAGGGGTGGTCTGGTGTTGCCAGCGGTGATTCTGGCCCAGGGGGGCCCCGGCTTCTGCGGGGAGGCCAGAAAGGCCTTCAGAGCACCCCTCGCGAGGCCCAGAGGCTTCATGGGGGTTCCAACATGGGGACGCTTCGGGCCAGGGTCGCTTCAGGCAGCGGAGGGGGCTCCGCACCATCGACGACTGACCTCTTGTTCCTTCGGAGACTGGCACCCAGACCTCTCCAGGGGTGACTTTCGACCAGCATTTTGTAGCGGATCCAGCCGTGGTGGCGAGAAACTTTCCGAAGGCCCCAACAGGCGAAACATGTCTTCGATTGTGGAACCTTGATGCTCACCGTAGTCGTCGTGCTCGTCCTCCTGTCCTCCTCCTCCTCCTCCTCCTCCTCCTCCTCCTCCCTGTCCTCCTCATCCTCATCCTCCTCTTCCTCCCCCCTCGCGGCTGGCAGCGGATGGTCTGGACCAATAGCGACGGTACTCAGGCTTGTCCTGGGGCACGTTTTGACCTGTTCTGGGGTGCGCCGTGGCGACGAGGATTTAGAATGGAATTCTGCCGTGGCGACGAGCAGCCTACCTCCTACCCCTTCCTACATCCTCTTCGCCATCTGAGGGCTACGGCCCTACCGCCGCGCTCCTACAGGGGCAGTCCGCCGAAACGTATTCGATGCTCCGCTGCGCTCCGCTCCGTTCCTCCTGCCTCCTCCGAGCTTCTCCTGCTTCTCCTAGCTCCTCCCTGCTCTGCCCCTTCCCCCTCGCTCCTCCCCGCGGCCGGGAGCGGAGGGCACCTCCGCACCCGAATGACGATGACGCGGCGCTTCGCCGCCCTGATGCTCCTGCTGGCGCCCGCCGCGGCCGACGGCAGGGGCGCGCCGTCCTTCGCGCAGGACCTCCGCCGGCTGCCCGGCCGCCCCCGGGTCAGGCGCCGGGCGGGCCCTCGGATCAGCGTGTGGACGATGGCGAGGAGGAGGACGACGAGGACGAGGACGAAGAGGAGGACGATGATGAGGAGGAGGGGGAGGAGGCGCAGGTGGACGAGGAGGAGGAGGAAGAGGTCCGTGGAAAGTAATCGGGACACAACCAGACATTTGTTGTGATTTGTATTCAGGACCTTTCAGGCGAAAGTCCCATGGTGAAAAAGAGTTGGCGGCCATGCGTGTAATTGTTGGAAGCTTTGAAGACGACTGTGCGTGGTGCTGCGGGGAAAGCCCCACTGTGAAAACGACTTTGCCTCCGACAAGCTTTTGAGACGAATGTGCGCCAAGGCGAGAGCTCCACTTTGAAAACTACCCCGCCTCCATCCGTGTAGTTGCTGGAGATCTCAAGCTTCAGGATCATAATTGGCGAGGAGGTCTCGGGCGACACGTCCTGCCTGCTCTACCGACGCGCCTGGGGGTGCGACAAGAAGGGGTTTTCTACAAGGAGAGAGGATGGATCCCGGGCCCTTCGGCTGCACCTCCCTGGCCAAGGTGCGCCTCGCAGGCCCCATTCTCAGGCCGGCCGTCGGATTTTGCTGTGCGCTGAACGAGCGAAGCTCTGCGAGAGCCGTCGCGTCCAACGATTTGGCCACTGGGAACAAGGAGAGACCGAAGCCGACTGAGGCGATTTGCAGCGACCTGGGTGCCAAGCGGAATTTCGTAGCAGCTGGGCAGTGCACGCCGACGGTGTAGGGTGGGGCGTGAGGATTGTCTCATCCTCGTGTTTTCTCTCAACCGCCCGAAGTCGGTAGCTCGGGGTGGTTCGAGCTAAATTTCTCCTCCTCCCTCTTCCTCTTCCATCTCATCTCGTGCTGGATTTTCAGCAGGAGCAGTCTGGGGCCGCTGCGGGGCGCCCCGCTGCGCCGCGTCCATTGTCAACCGCCTGGGCAGGCATTTTTGTCAACCGCGCTGCTGCTCGTCTTTCTCCTCCTCCTCACCCTCCTCCTCCTCCTCCTCCTCCTCCATCCCTGTTCGTATATGTAGCTCCCCCTTGTCGCACCCCGAGACATGTCGGTAGGGCGGGCGGGGTGTTTTGTTTGTTATCATTTGTGATCCTGCAACTCAGAAAAATTGATACACTTTCACATGTGGTGGGCGGATGGTTTTCAAACTGGGGCTCTCACCTCGCACATTCGCTGTACCAGTTTGCAGGAGCTTCACGGATGGAGGGCGGGTGGTTTTGACAATAAGGCCCTTAGCGCCGCACGCATTCGTTTCGAAATTCTGCAAGAGCTTCACGGCTGGAGGGCGGTTCCTTTTCAACATGTGGCCCTCCTTTAGCGCTTCGCGCACTCGTTTCACACGTTTGCAGGAGTTCCATGGATGGAGGGCGGGTGGCTTTCGCGGTGGGCTCTCGCCTTGGCGCCGCGCGCTTTCGGTTTGGGCTGCTGCGGGAGTTTCGCGGGTGGGTGGTGGCTCCTGTTCGGGCTGCGGCTCTCGTCTTGGCGCCCCTCGCGCTTGTTTTTTTTAAGGGGTTGGCAGGAATTTCACGGATGGAGGGCGGATGCTTTTCAAATTGTGGCTCTCGTCCCAGCGCCGCGCACATTCGGCCTAACAGTCGACAGCAATTTCAAGGATTCTTACGGTTGACGTCCCAGAAACGGTTTTTTGGCTTGATTTCGAATTGTTCGGGCGCGGCAGTCACGTTGATCTGCTGTGTTGATTCCCAAGAGCGGTAAGCTGGCACGGTTTTGGATCGTCAGGGCGCAGCAGTGACGCTGATCCGCGGCGTTGAAGCTCCAGGAGTTGTGTTTTGACATGATTGAGAATTTTCAGACATTTGTCTTCCAACGGGGCATTTCTCGTAGTGAAGACAAATCTTTGTAGGAATCTACGGAGAAGGAGCGTGGAGGGATGGGCTACGACAGCATCGTTGACGAGTCATTGCTTTAGTCTGGTCCTCCTCCTTCCTCTCTCTCGCTTCTTTTCCCTCCACGACTGCCGCTGTTAGCCAGCCCAGGAGCATGCAGCACCGCCGTGCGCGTTGCGAATCGCTGCCCGCATTTCCGCTCCTCTTCGTCCTCCCTCTCCTGTTTTCATCGCCCTACCTCCTCTCACCGCTGGTGGCTTCTTACATCTGACCCTGGCCAGTGTTGTAAGCAGTGTATTCGCACGACAGCCGTTTTGGACAACCACGCTGCCCACTCTCCTTCCTCCTCGTTCACGTCGTCATCCCAGTCATGCTGTGTTTTTTTTGCTGCACAGGCCAAGGTTTCGCGTGCGGGCTCACCTAACTACTGCAGGTTGGTCCTTGCGTGGCCCTGGGTTTGCTTGGTGCACTGCCTGGGCACCATCGTTGATTGGGGATGCCGACGTTGACAAACACATTCTAGACGCTTGGTGTCACCTCACCAGCCCATCCAGAAAACGATGTCCAGACGAATTGCCTTGACCAGGGATGCGGAGGTGCATGCAGTGGACTAAAAGGCTGGGTAAGACGTCATATTCCAAGAGGGGGAGGATGGAGGAGGAATCGGAGGAGGACGAGGATGAGGAGGAGGAGGAGAAGGACGAGGAGGAGGAGGAGGAGGAGGAGGAGGAGGAGGAGGAGGAGGAGGAGAGGAGGGGGGTGGAGGGGGTGGAGGAGGAGGAGGAGAGGAGGAGGAGGAAGAAGGAGGAATCGGTGGATGAGGAGGATGAGGAGGAGGAGGAGGAGGAGGAGGAGAGGGGGTGTTGGCGGAGGAGGCGGAGGAGGGGGGGGGGGGGAGGAGGAGGAGGAGAAGGAGGAGGAGGACGAGGCGGAGACGGACGATGATGATGATGCTGATGATGCTGATGATGCTGATGATGCTGATGATGCTGATGATTTTGCTGCTGATGATGCTTATGGTAAGGATGATGATGATGATAATGATTATGATGCTGCTGATGATGACGATGACGATGACGACGACGACGACGATGATGATGATGATGATGATGATGATGATGATGATGATGATGATGATGATGATGATGATGATGGTGGTGGTGGTGGTGGTGGTGATGATGATGATGATGCTGATTATTGTGATGATGGTGGTGATGATGATGATGATGATGATGATGATGATGATGATGATGATGATGATGATGATGATGATGATGAGGAGGAGGAGGAGGAGAAGGAGGAAGGTGAGCAGAAAGGACAGATGCATCTTGGGTTTCTCTAGGAGTCTCTTCGGATGTCGTTCGACAGCTTCTGGGAGGTCTCTTGGGACGTCTTGGGGGTCTCTTGGCAGTTCGGGGGCCCCCTTGGGGCGTCTTGGGTGCTTCTAGGAGACCTCTTGGGGCCTCGTGGGGGTCACTTGGGAGTCTCTTGGGGGCATCTTGGGGGCCTCTTGGGGCCTGCTAAGATCTTTGTAACATCGGTCACTTTGGCATCCTCGCCGAGGCCATCCTGGACGCTCCAACCCCTCGCGAACCCCCCCATGCAGACCCAGGGAGAGGGGTAAGGGAAGGGTGAAGCTACCCACCCGCCCGCAAGCCGTCTAGCTCACTCCCACCCACCCTCCCAACAAGTTACACCCGAGCCTGAGAATGTTCAGCGGTCGTCTTTGGATGGACAGCTATTGGGAACCAAAGCCGACCCCAGGTGCGCGACGCTTGGGCGAGGTGCGCCACGCGTGCCAGGGGCGCCACGCGCGCCAGGCACGCCTGGGGCCCGAGCGTGCCAGGCACGCCTGGTCCGCCAGATGCGCCACGTGCTCCGAGTGCGCCAGGTGCGCCGCACACTCCAGCCGCGCCAGGTGCGCCATGTTCGGGGCACGTGCAGTGTCTAGTTACATATGGCATTTGAGTTGGCGAGTGCACGCACCCAACTTGCGACCCGGGTTTCCTTCCCCTGCCTTCTCCCTCTCCTTGTATATCCGTTTGCAGGGCCTTCCCTGCCAAGCTTGCTAGGCGTGCGCAGGCACTTTCTACCAAGAATGGTGCAGTTCATTTGCCCCGCGCCCCACCCGCACGCTTGTTATCTCGGGCGTACTGGCCTATCCTCGATTTGAGGCTGGCCCCTGTTGTGCTTCATTCGTCGTTCTCCTCCTCCTCCTCCTCCTTTTCCTCCGGGCCCGAGCCCGGAGCGATCGTGCTCTTCCGTTGCACTCGGCATTGCGAAGATTTCTCATTGTGGGCGTATGTGTTTATAAACGGCTGGACGCCGTCGGGGATGCGCATACACTTGGTGGAGGGACTTTAGGGCGGTGCTGTACCTTTAAGTGGTCTGTTACATGCACTGAGCTTGGGGGTTACCAGTTCTCGTCGCGCTGTCATTCCCCTCAGCTTTCCTCCTTCTTCTCCCCAAAACTGCGTTGGAAAACAAATTTTCGGGGCACGTGCAGGGTGCGTCAGGTGCGCCTGCGCACGCGACAGCACACATCGGGAAATATGTCTGCCCCCGCCATCCTTGTCGAAAACCAATGCCCATCGTTGTGTCTGGTGGGCCTGCGCACAGCAGGCCACGCGCCACCACCCCCGCGGTCCCTGTCAAAAACAATTTGACAGTGATAGCGGGATGGCCGCGCATGATCCAGATTTAGCAGCGAGGTGCATGTTCTACTGTTTTTTGTCAGGTATGGTAGCCCTGCTCACGGCAGGGAATATGCTGGCCCCCCCGCCGTCCCTGTCAAAAACAATACAAGGTGTTCGCGGGCCTCACGAACATGACTCAAGACTTTGCCCCCATGTGTACCTTGCATTATTTTTTCGACGGGGATGGTTGGGGGGCCCGCAACGGGTTGGCCGCGCATGCTCCAAATGTGGAGGCAGAATGCGGTTTGTATTGTCTGTGACAGGGATGGTGGGGGCGGGTCGGCATGGTGTCCTCATGGTCCCTGGTTGGACGCCGGTCGCCTGGGGGAGGGGGTGTAACAGTGATACACACCCTCCCCGAAGGGGAAGAAAGGGGTTGGAGGAGGAAACTCCCTGAACCTCTTACGCCCTAGAGGCCAACGACACTTGTGCACGTTCGCGGTCAGCTTGCGCTGGCCTGCTTTGGAACGCAGTCGCCTCGTGCACGTCCCCCCCGTCCCCAGGCCTTGCACCCTCGGATGTGCCTCGGGTCTCGGGTGTCCCCCCCCCCCGGGCCGGCCCTCGGCGGCGGATCCTCCTCAATGCCTCTTCTCCCCTTGCGGCAGGAGGTGGAAAAGTATCCCTTGGATCTCCCACCTTCGGATGCACCTCCTGGGAGGTTGAGTTCAGCATCGGCACTGGTACATCATTGGTCGAAATCTGACCTGATCTGGCCCAAATCCGCTTGGCCCCGACCGCACTCGCGCTTGACATGGCTTAATCGTTAGGTTGGTCCGGTTTAGTCTGGTCCAATTTGGACTTCCAGTCGGGCTTAACAGCTGCAATCGTTCTCGCGAACACCTCCCAAGAGTTGCCTCCTAGCGAAAATCGAAGTGCGAGGCGTTAAGGCTTGTTCGCTCTTGGATTCCCGGGCCCCTCCCCCAGGAGACCCCTTCGTCAGGATCGAGGTTCGCGGCGTCGGAGGAGCACAACAAGCATGCTGATGGCGATGCCCTTCTCTCGCTTTCGCCTCGTCGGGCCTTCTTGGGGGGGACCCTCCAGAATCCTGTGCAGAACGCGCCCAGGAGAGTCGGTATATTTCCGTTCCACCACCTCGAGGGACGAGCACTCGGATCCGACACCCTCTCTCTCTCTCTTTCCCCCCAGGCCCCTCAAGGAGACGTTTTTTTTGTTGTTCTTCCCATTTTTGCTTTCTGGGGCCTCCCGAGGGCTTCTTGGGGACCTCCGGGGGCTTTCATGAACGGCTCTGGATATCCTGGAGCCTTTGCGAACGAGGGATGATGGAGGCAGTGAGGTGCGAACTGGATCGAGTTTTTGTTGTGTGGTTGTTTTGCCTTCTGCTTCGTGTCCTCCAATGGTTCTGTCCTCGTCGTCGTCGTCGTCGTTATCGTCGTTGTTTCTTTTTGACGTTTCACCGTTTCACAGCAGTGCCGCTGGCAGTGCGCTATGGACGATCGTCTCACCATTCTGCCGATGCACCTCTGACGTGCACGACTTCATCTCTTTCTTTTTTTTGCTTCTCATTTTTTTTTTTTTTTTTGTTTTCTCTCTCTCTCTCTCTCTCCAGTCTCTGGGCCCCCAGGGCCCCTCATTTCCTCTTTTGCTACCTCTCCCTTGCTTCCTTTGACCACAGTGCCACTCCCCTCCTCTTCAATCCTCCTCCCCTGCCATCCCGCTTCCCTTTCCCCCCCTCTCTCCATGCTCCTCGGATGTTGAGAGTAGGTGCTTTTGGAATGTCGGGTTATTCTGTACCTTGAGCGCATTCCTACTCCAAGAACCTAGGGTGTTCGGAGTTCGGTCCGTTCGGCTGCGTCGCAGTCGGTTCGGTTCGGTCAGTTATTATGTCGTTGCCACGTCGCGATGCCCTTCTAGGCTGCTTCCGGCCTGTCGATTTCGGTCGGTTTCGGTTTCGCTGTCGGTTCGGTCGGTTTTGCTGTCGCCATGCACGGCCTTGGAACTGGAGGCTCTTCCTTCTTCCTTCCCTTTCTGGGGGCAGGCCGTCAACCCATTCATTTTGACATGCTTTTCTACTTGATGCTTTGACTTCTCTCTTCCGACCGTGGTGTTCTCCTTCCTTTGCGTCTCCCGCATTATTGGCGGTGCACAGAAGGGAGTGGGGCTTGAATGTGCGCGTTGTGGAGCACGTTCGAGGATTTTGCTTTTTGATTATGCTTTGTTTGTTTCATGCCTCTGAAAGCTTCGGGATATCTCTCGAGGCATGTGGAGACTTCATGTACTTCCGAAGACTCGGATGCAACCTCGCCGCGCACTCGTCGGCCGTTGGAAGTAAGTACGTTTTGGAATGTCAGACCCTTGTCTATTTCCATCGCCTTCCCAGTCAGTTGAAGAGCCGAGAGCCGTTACTTTCCCTCAGGAGCCCACAGCACTTCGAATTTCTACTTTTTTCATGGTTATGCAGTATTTAGTTCTTCCGATCGACGTGCTGAAGTCGACGACGCGAATGGGCGCAAGGAGGCCGCCCACGGTCGAGAGCGTGCGAGGATACATATCTGCTCATTACCTCTCTCCGAATCAATGCGGAACGAACGCATGCCCAGCGCACAGCCCCAGCTTATCAACGTCCGGCGTGGCCGTGTGGAAGGGAGGGGATGGATCAGAGATCTCGGGGAAGCTCTGGACAAGCCACAAGAGAGGGATGGCTTGCGTATGTTAGGTGGTTGGTGTGGCCCCGCGGTTCGCCAGCTCCCGTCGCGGAGCACAGACTGGTTGCCAATATTCTGGTGCTTTGTTCCGCCGAGCTGTCGTGGTCGGCGGAGCCCAGTGCCGCAACTACGCTGATTGGAGAAAAGTGTGACGCAGCAGAGCCTCTGTAAGTTGAGGACTTGCGGCGAGGGGCTTGGATATCTTCGAAGGTTCACTGTGACCTAGCCTTTCGACCCGCGAAACGGAGTGAGACGTTCTTCTGTTCACGGTCTCGGAGGCGACCCACCTAGCTTGATGCACTGCCCTCGGTTTCGTTTGTGTGGACCGAAGGGCCGCAGTCATTCGCTCGTTTGGCTGGTTTGACTGCGAAGGCCTTACGGCCGGTGCCGCCGACCCTGAATGGCGACGACGACGACGACGACGAGCGCTCTTGGGGGCCTCTTGGGGGTAGTTCGTGGGCCTCTTGGGAAGCTCTTAGGGGCCGCTTGGAAGCCTCGTGGGGGCCTCTTGGGGCTTCCTGGGGGTCTCTTGGAGGGGGCCTGGGACGTCTTGGAGGCTTCTTGGACGGTCTTGGGGCTATCGTGGGCGTTTTCGGCCGATCTTTGGGCGACTCGGGGCCCTCTTGGGCCGTCTCGGGGGCCATCTGGGGCATTCGGACCTCATCTGGAGTGTTTTCGAGGTTTCTAGGCCGCCCGAGGAAAAACGAATCTGCCCCCCCACCCCCCCCTCCACCCCTCCCGGGACCCCCCCCTCCACCCCTCCCGGGAACCCCCCCCCCCTGGGGAAGGGATCGAAGGGAAGGGGCTTCCCTTCGACTCGATTACGACACTGCTCGATTTTTCTCTCGCTCACGAGCTTGAGAAGGAAGCTGCAGGGAAAGGGGACGACGGAGGCGACGACCGACGGAGACGACGACTCCAACAGCCAAGCCCCTCGCACACGCCGACAGGGTCGGCGGATTTCTGTAGCCGTTCAGATTGGCTCGAGGGCACCTCCGCCGCGTATATGTGGGACATGGGGGCCAAGGCTAATGATGCTGGCATGTTTCGTTATCTGGAGATCCACCAGGGGAAGTATCTGGAAGACACCAAGCCACAATCGTCGGCGCCGGACAACGAGAGCGAGGCGGAGAGCGAGGACCCTGCACTCGAAGCCCTGAACTCTTCGAGAAGCGAGGACAGTGACCTTGGGTGCGATGACATCTGCGAGAGATTGCGCCGGCGCTGGGGGGGGCCTCTGCTCGTGATTGTGCTCATTCTCGGCACCTGCGCGGCCTGTGAGCAGAGCGTGTATAAGGCTGCCGCAGAGGATGCGGCTCTGGCGGTCCTGCGGATACTGCAGTATGGCTGCGCCAGCGCCGCGCTTGCCCTCATGCTGGTCACCAACGGTACGGACCCAGGTTCTGTGGTCCTCAGCGACTTGCAGAGGTATCACGTCGAGGGAGACCCGCTGCCCGTATTCGGTACCACCAAGACGTTCATGTTAGATGTCGACTCCCCCTTGGAGTTCCGGTGGTGCACGACGTGTAAGTTCTACCGCCCCCCTCGTGCGGGCCACTGCCACGACTGCAACAGGTGTTTCTTGAGGTATGACCACCACTGCCCATGGGTAGGCAACTGCGTCGCAGAGGCCAATCATCGTTTTTTCAGCTCGTTCCTCCTGGTCGTCAGCCTGGCAGGCTTGTGCGTGCCAACTGCGGTGTCCGTGGTAGCTGTGCGCGAGCACCTGTTCTTCGACTCTGGCGGCTGGGGGGACAGCAGGCGGAGGGAGTCGCCCCCCTTTGGCATTGCGGCGTTCTGCGTCGCTGGGTTCAGCCTCTTCTGCTGCTGCGGCGGCTTGGCGTGCTTCGCTGTGGACCAGTTCTCCCAGTTGCTGTCCAATGTCACCACCAAGGAGCGCTTCGGCAGGGAGAAAAAGGAGCTGCGCATCTGCTCCGAAGACCTGGGCCCGATGACGAGGGACCTATGCTGCGCCCCCGTCCGGTGCCGGCGGCACTGACCCCCTGGCGGGCCCCGCGGGGCCGCTGCGCCGCCGGGCGGCGGACGAGGTCCCCCGAGAGCGGCACGGTTCGGCCTCGGGCGGGCACGTGAGCCCCCGCGTGCCCGCGCGAGGGACCAGAGATCGAAGACGGCGGTCGCGACCGACGGCGACCCACGGCCGACAATGGACGACCGACGGCGACTGACGACGGCGGCGGCAACGGATGACCGCCGACAACCGACAACTGACGACCGACGACGACACTGACGACGGCGACGGCGGCGACGATGACGACGCCGGCGCGAGGAGGCCCGCGCCGACAAGATCTTGGGCGAGCTGAGGGCCGCGGAGGGAGCCGTGGCGAAGGAGTTGAAGGGCCATCCTGCGCTGCTGCGACAGGAGGAGCCCAGCCGCCTTGAGGGTGGGTCGCCACGAGGCTTGCGCAGCCTTGAGTGGCGTAATTGTGTCCCTTCGCCGGACGTTTTCGTCGGTGCCCGTAGGGTTTACGGACGCGGGATGCGTTCCAGCAGCTGCGCCTCGCCGAGAGCGTTCCGGGGGTGCCCGAATCGTCCAGATCGGCCGCCAGAGACTCGAGTTACGTATGACCCGAACGCCGAGTGACTTCGCCGCCTTGAAGGCGAGCCGCCCGGAGGGTGGGTCGCCAGTTTGCCATGAGGGGAAAGATCCTGAGGGATACGATTAGCGGCGCGCGCAAAGGGGGTTCCCCGAGGAGGGCGGCCTCCTCACAGCCTTCCTGGCCTCGGCGGCGACCCCAGCGAATGCGTTCAAGGTTGAACGCCGCCCGTGGCCCACAATCGGTCCAAATCGGACGACCCGTTTTATCGGAAAGCCGCGATCGTTCAAGGTGGAACAATCTACGCAGTGTCAGAATCTAAGGCCGACGTCGCCACGATACGAACCTACTGTGACCATGCCAAGAAGTCGGATGGGGATCCTGAGGAGTTTCCGTGGAGTTCCCCTTGAGAAACAAGCCCAACCGAGCCTGATTCGCCCCCTTCTCCTTGGTCTGTTTGGACTTCCCTAATCCTTACAGCGGGCTGGGAAGGAGGAAGTGATTTCTAAGCGTTTTTTTTGCCTTGTATGGGTCTGGGGAGTCCCATCGTGCGAGCTCAGGCGGGGGTGATGCGGGATTGGGGGGGGCGATGTGGGCGGAGCGGTTGGGGCGGTGTGGGGTTGGTCAAGGAAGATCGGGGCTGAGTGGGGCAATCATGTGGGCCGGGCGGGGCCGGGCAGAATGCAGGTCAGGCGGGGTGAGGCGGGCGGGGGAGTGGGGGGAAAGGGTGGTTTGGGTGGAGCTGGAGTGTGGCGGGTGACGTGGGGAGCGGGTGTGAGCGAGGGTGTGCTCAGGGGAAAGATCGAGGAAGGCCAGTTGAGACGACGGCGGCGCCCCCGCCTGGCCCAAGTCCGCTCAAAATCGGTCCCCCGACCTCTCCGGGGGTCCATCCTCGCCCTTGTTCCCAGACGGATCCAGCCCTTGCGACGAGGAGTCTCCAGGATGCCCAACAAGGACGAACAAGAAACGCCGTTATTTCGATTGGTCTCTTCCGAAAAGAGAAGGAGAGTCAGGAGATCAGCCAAGGAGGGAGGGCCTTCCCCCTCTCATTCTTCTTCCCGGGGGCCCATAGGTCTCCATCCACCAGATGTCTCTGGAGAGGTTTCTGGAGGCCCCAGACGGAGCTAAACGCATTCAATAACCTCGATCTTCCTCTTCCCTCCCTCCTCCCTCTCCTCCTCCTCCTCCTCCTCCTCCTCCTCCTCCTCCTCCTCTTCCTCTCCTCCTCCTTCTCCTCCTTCTCCTCATTTTTGCGTTAGGCAAGCCTTAGGACAGAGCTTGTGGTGTTAATGTGGGCAGTGCAAAAAGAAGTTACATGTTGAACACGAACTTGGCGAAGTGGTAAAAAAGGGCGTTCACATGGCGGGCGCCGCGGCAAAGAGAGGTTAAGATGGGGCGGTGAAGCGGAGCTTAAAGAAAGAGTACGCGCCCGCCTGGTGGTAAGGTTCGGCCTGCCTATATACCTTAGTGTGACCCCCCCTATCATCGTGGACCCACCTCAGAACCCCTTCAATTTGTAAGTACAGGCTTGCCGACAGACAGTGCAACGTGTGACATATGAGTACGGCAGGCAAAACAGTGTATGGGGCTGGCACAGGCTGTGCTGGCTGGCCCAAGTGGGAAATTCTCCCGGCGAATGATCCAACCATATACAGTCAGTTGTGGGTACCGTCGTTGCATGCACCATATTCAGTGGAACTCACTATGGGGCCACGCAACGTGTGGGGAGTGTGCCGCAATGCGCGCGGTGGTGGAGCTTCCTGAGGGGCTACGAAACGTGTGAGCGATGTGCTAACATGGGCGCGGTGGGCGCATGCGAGCGCTGGCATTGGGCCTTCGGTGGAGCACTTTCTACGGGGTCACGAAACGTGTGAGCGGTGTACCAACATGAGTGTAGTGGGCGCATGCGAGCGCTGGCATGTGGCCCTCCGGTGGGGCTCCCTATGGGGCCATGACACGTGTGAGGGGTGTGCCAAAATGAGCGCGGTGGGCGCGTGTGAGCGCTGGCATTTGGGCCTTCGGTGGACCTCCTTACGAGGTCACGGAAGGTGTGAGGGGTGTGCCAAGATTCGTGCGGTGGGCGCATGCGAGCGCTGGCTTGTGGGCCTTCGGTGGGGCTCCCCATGCGGCAACAACACGTGTGAGGGGTGTGCCAAAATTGGCGCGGTGGGCGTATGCGAGCGCTGGCATTTTAGCCTTTGGTGGAGTTCCTTCTAGGGGCCATGCAGCGTGTGAGGGGTGTGCCAAAATTGGTACGGTGGGCGCATGTGAGCGCTGGCATGTGGGCCTTCGTTGGATCCCCCTCATGGGGCCACAAAATGGGTGAGGGGGAGGAGGATGAGGAGGCGGAGGCGGAGGAGGAGGAGGAGGAGGAGGAGCAGGAGGAGGAGGAACGGGAGGAGGAGGAGGAGAGGAGAGGCGAGGAGGAGGGACGCAGGGACAGTCTTCAAAACAGGGACCCAACACCACACTTTGGCTGGAACAAACACAATTCTTGGGCTGCTACCCGTGTTCTGTTCGGTTCCTCGGGGGGAGGCTCTTTCACAGTTTCAGTTCCCAGGGGGGGGGGGGGGTCCCCGTCACAGTAGCCACCATTGTGGCTCTTGTACCCCCCAAAGGTAGGCCAGCTGGGTGTTACACCGGCAAGAAAAAGGTGCTGGCCTGAAAGGCTGGCCTGTCTGGCGAGACGGCGGGGCCCTCCCTGCCTTGAGGGGCAGGGGGTCCCGCAAAGATACCTGGCGAAACGAGAAGGAGCGAGCGAGCAATATGGGAATTTGAAAGTAAAACAAAAGCAGAGTGGAGGAGGCTAATAATTTCGCTGACATACAGCAAGCAGAAGCTCCTCTCCACCCCGAGCCCAAACGATATCTCCTCCACCATGCCCCCTCCCGTCAAGTTAGGCTGTCGCAGCCAGGTCAAGAACAGTAGGATATGGTGATATTATAATGTCGGCCTGTAAACTTGCACTCGAGCTGGTATTAAGGCTGGCCTGTAAGGCTGGCCTGTTTGGCGAGACGGTGGGGCCCTCCCTGCCCTGGATGGCAGGGGGTCCTGAAAAAGGTACTTAGCGACACGGGAAGGTATGATCGAGCAGTATGGGTATATATATATATGTATGTGTATATATATGCAAAGAACGTAAACATAAGAGGCAGTGTGGAGAAGTCTACGTATGTTGCTGCACTACAGCAACCTGGAGCTCCGCTCCTTCGATCCCCCACCTGTCAACCCACCCTACACCCCCTCCCTACATGTCAGGCTGTCGCAGCCAGGCCAGGAACAGCAAAGAGCTGGTGATATTATACGGATGACCTGTAAACTTGCACGCAGGATGGTGATGAGGCTGGCCTGTAAGGCTGGCCTGTCTGGCGAGACGGTGGGGCCCTCCTTGCCTTGATGGGGCAGGGGGTACCGCTAAGGCACCTGGCGAAAAGAGAGGGAGTGAGCGAGCACAGTGGATATTCAACGTAAGCAATCACAAGAGACAGAGTGGAGAAGGCTAAGAATATGGTTGAAAAGCAGCAATCCGAGCTCCTCCTCTTCCTTTTCCTCCTCCTCCTCCTTCCCGGGGAAGTGAGAAGGCGGAAGGCGAAGGAGGAGGATGATGCGGAGGAGGATGAGGTATGCCGGAGTGGTAGGTCGACGGAAGAGAAGGAGAAGGAGAAAGAGAAGGAGCAGGGGGAGGCGGTAGAAGAAGGTAGACGGATAAGGGTGATTATGTTGATGATGATGCCGATGATGACGATTGTGATGCCAATGACCATGATGATGATGACGATGATGATGATGATGCCGATTCTGATGATGGCAATGCTAATGATGATGCTGATAATGATGATGAGAGCGACGATGACGATGATGATGATGACGACGATGACGACGATGCTGATGTTGATACTGATGCTGCTGATGATGCTGATGATGATGCTGATGCTGATGCTGAGGATGAGGATGAGGAGGATGCTGATGCTGACGCTGCTGCTGCTGCTGCTACTGCTGCTGCTGCTGACGACGGATACAACTAATATTAACAATGTGACTACAGTAACAATCTACTGACAATAATTATTAGCATATCACTAGTAAAACTACTCCGAGAGAGCAATACTGATATTATGGAGACTAAGAAGAATCATACGAATAATCATGGTAGCAATCCTATTAGTAAGAAAGGAGACTATTATTAAACAATATAAGTAATAATAAGAGAGAGTACCAATACACAATATTACTAGTATTTCAACGAAGAATAATACAACTGCGGATGCTACTGCTACTGTTTATATGTATCCGTAAGGGCTTCGCCCCATGCCGCCGGCTCCCTGTCTCGGATAATGGGAAATGCAAAGGCTAAATCATGAGGTCTGGGCTCCGCCGTGAAGCAGTGTCGGGACCTGTTTGTCTTTCGACCCTAACCCTACGGATCTGCGTCACGGGTGCCGCCGAATTTCAGAAATGTACCACATCCTTTTGTGTTTTTTGGACCCTGACCCTACGGATCTGCGTGATGGGTGCCGCCGAATTTCAGAAATGTAGCAAATCCCATGTGTTTTTGGACCCTGACCCTGCCGATCTGCGTGAGGGGTGCCGCCGAATGTTAGAAATGTGGCCAATCCCATGTGTTTTTGGATCCTGACCCCGCCGATCTGCGTGAGGGGTGCCAGCGAATTTCAGAAGTGTGGCAAATCCCATGTGTTTTTGGATCCTGACCCCGCCGATCTGCGTGAGGGGTGCCAGCGAATTTCAGAAATGTGGCAAATGTGTTTTTGCACCCTGACCCCGCCGATCTGCGTGACAGGTGCCACCGAATGTCCGAAGTGTTGCAAGTCCCATGTGTTTTTGGACCTTGACCCCGCCGATCTGCGTGAGGGGTGCCAGCGAATTTCAGAAGTGTGGAAAGTCGCATGTGTTTTTGGACTCTGACTCCGCCGATCTGCGTGAGGGGTGCCACCGAATTTTAGAAATGTGGCACATCCCCTGTGTTTTTGGACCCTGACCCCGCCGATCTGCGTGAGGGGTGTGGATTTTTACCCACCCCAGCAATTCAGACAACACGCTCAGGGCGTGGTACAAATGCTCGTTTTGGGCCTCCCCCCCTCGCGCGGTCCATCAACAAGGAGCAGTAAGCAGCAAGAAACAGAACTGTAACGGTGGAAACTGGATGCTGCAACTGGTACAGGAAACTGCGAACCTTCGTCCTACAGCCTGGTGGCCCCACAAGGGGGCCGGCGGATTATGAAGAAGACGAATCTACACAATACTAAGCATGCCAAACATAATTTCAATACTACTAATACTTGCAAGCATGATGACAATACTGTTAATAATCGTACACAGAAGAATTATAATGTTAATAACAGGGAGTCTGACCATACTACGACTAAACATGATAATATCATTAACAACAATAACTAGAACACGACTACTAAACATACTAATACGAATAACATGACGACAATGCTGCTGCTGAGGAGGAGGAGGTGGAGGAGGAGGAGGAGGAGGAGTGGGAGGAAGGCAGTCGTCGTGTATCGGATCCACAGCGCAGCGATTTGAGCCCACAGCAATGCGCCTCGCATCTGCAGCGAGGCAGCCAGAGTCGTAGCGCAGCGCGCAACGCCTCGGGCGCCGCAGCGGGGTGGCGCCCTCGCTGAGCACCCGAGGAGGCCCTGCTGCATCAGGCGGCCGCAAGAGCCGGGGAGGCCCGCAGGGCATTCTACGGCGAGGCCCCGTGTGGGGGAGGAGGAGGGTCAGAGACGCCCAATCGACTCGATCCTCGTTCCTCGTCCTTCCTGCAGCTCCTCCTCCTCCTCCTCCCTCCCTCTTCCCTCCCTCGCTTCCTCCCTCCTCCTCCTCCTTCTCCTCCTCCTCCTCCTCCTCCTCCTCCTCCCTGCCTCCCTCCCTCCCAGCCTTCTCCTCCCTCCCTCTCGCACTCCCTCCTTCCCTCCCTGCCTTTTTGCCTCCCTGCCTCCCTCTCTCCCTTCCTCACCCCCCTCCTCCTCGAAGATGTGGGAAATGGAGGAGGGAGGGGGAGGATGAGCAGGTGGAGGAGGTGGAGGAGGACAATGAGTAGGTCGAGCAGGAGGAGCAGTAGGGGAGACGAGGAGGGAGCGGGGGAGGAGTGGGGGGGGGAGGAGGAGGAGTAGTGAAGTGGAGAGGCGGAGGTCGAGCCTCCGTTCTGGAGGGCGAACCTTTCCATTATGGAGGAAGAGAAGTTCCAGAGGTCGCACCTTCAGTGTACAGATGTTTGTTCCTCTTCGACGGTCGGCCCCCCTGGGGCCCCCCAGTGGCTCGCCCGGGACGCGCGAGGCCCATCGGTTTTAGAATCCAGGCCAGGCTCGTGCTGTGCATGCAGTGTGTACCTCGCCTTCTGACTGGCCCAGATGGTCGAAGACCCCTGTTTCGAATGCAGACCGCTACACTGGAAGGGACAAGCTTCCCACTGTGGAGAAAGATGCCCCCAGAATGGAGGTCGAACCTTCGTTTGAAAGGTTTTCTATCCTCCGATTGGGGGTGGGGCCCTCTGAGGATCAAGGCCCCGAGCGTCTTTGCGGAGGTCCCGAGAGGTCCCAGGAAGCTTCGGAGTTCTTTGGAGATCTCTGGAGGCCCGAAAAAGGCCCAAACAAGTTGAAAACCTCGCTCCCCGATGTTTGTCCAAACACCTGGCTCCTCGATGCTCGTCTAAACACTTCGATCCTCGTCTCCAGAGCTTCGGCGGAATGATTGCTTCAATACCGGCGTCTTTCTGCAGCTTCGTTCTTCTTGGGCTCTCTTCGGGCCCAGGGCGCTATCAAAATGGGCCTGGGAGGAGAGCCCGCCCCCAGGGAAGGGGTCGAGACCTCTGGGGCCCGCAGATTGACAAGTCACATCGTCGGATGTCTGGGTCAGCGCAGCGCAGATCGCAGATTGCAGTAGTGCAGAGAAGATGCCCTCTGCAGCGGAACAGGCCGCACCACAAGGCAGGCGCAGACCTCCGCTCTCTTGTGCAAATCACCGTCTCATTTTGTTTTGTTTTGTTTTGTTTTGTGTTGCTTGATTTTGTCGGTATTAATTTTTTTTTTGTGTGTGTGTGTGTTGTGTGTGTGTGTGTGTGTGTATGTTGTGTGTTGTGTGTGGGTGTGAGTGTTTTTTTGTTTGTGTGTGTGTGTGTGTGTGTGTGTGGGTGGGTGGCTTCCACTAGTGCCACATCGCCAGAGCAGTCCCGCTGCCCAGCCCCCGACGCAGAAAAGTTGGAGGTTGGCGCGGGGCCCGGGTCCGTGGCCCTGGGTCGGGGCTCCGGCCTCCGGAGGTCCCTGGCTGTTCGCAGACGGGTCTCTGGAGGCCT